CCCTCAGCCTCTGCTTCCTCATCGGAAGACATGGCGCCGGGATTGAGGAGATCCTCGAAGTATTCCTTCCGCCGTCCGACAATGTCCCCAGTTGAGGTCAACAGCTGCCCACCTCCACTGTAAACAGTTTTGGCAGGGCACTGCTTCCCCCTCCTGAGGCGCCGGACGGTTTGCCAGAATCTCTTCGAGGCTCGCATTTGAGCCCCAACCCCTGGCCTGGCTCCAGGGTGGGGCCCTGGCTGCGCCATGCCGGGCGACGTCACGGTCCTTGATTTTAATCTATTCATAAAGGGCTTTTGAACTGCTCATAGTCTGACCCGTCACCCAGGACCTGTTTGCCTTGGGAGACCCTACCAGGGACATGTAGCCCCCGACAACATAGCTCCTAGGATCACTCGGGTACTCAAACCCCTCCACCACAATAAGGTGGCGGTTCAAGGAGGGGCTACTGCACTATTTAAGCAAAAAATGTTTTATTATATTTTATTATATCCCCTTGCTCATTTTTACAACACAGGTTAGTTATTGTGCATGAAAATATTCAATAAAATATTTCAATTATAGAAAAACAAAACTGATAATAAAACTAATTTTGGTTCAGGTCATCCAAATCAAGCCAGGGGATTTGCCATTTCTGGCTAAGATATGACAACCTGGAAAAACATTTTTATTCAGATGAATAGAAGAATGAGGATACTAGGAGTATCTTAAGTACTACTAAGTTACATTTTTTTCAAAGTATGCTAGGGATAATATGTCTTCCAGAAAAACATACGCTTAGATTTGTGATTGAAATGATAACATGAGAGGGCAGCATGGCTCCGGGTTGGAGTCTGGGCCTTTCTCTGCACAGTTTTCATGTTGTCCTTGTGCCTGTGTGGGTTCTCTCCGGATACTCCGGTTTCCTCCTCCCAAAGACATGCAGCATAGGTTGACTGATGACTCTAAATTGCCAGTAGGAGTGTGTGTGGTTGTCTGTCACTGTCAGCCCTGTGATAGACTGGCGACCTGTCCACGGTGGACTCTACCTCTACCTCTCATCCAAGTGTCAGCTGGGAGTTGCTCCAGCACCCTCGTGACCCTGTTCAGGACAGACAGAAGTTGGATGAATTATAACATGTGTCCAATGAGGGATTATTAAAAATTAGGCCTGTTACTTAAAAAAAATCAATTTAATAGAAACTAATATGTAATTTGTTCATATTTATTAGCACAACCCATGCAGCAACATTAGTAGAGGGTCATGACATAAGCATTAGATAAGATGCTATACAGTTATCACTTTATGGACTACTGCTGCAGCCCAGTAGCCATGCTAGCCCTCTGCAGTGTATGCTAGCAACTCTGCCTTTGTTTTCTGCACAACTCAATGTGGCATCCTCTGCTGTACTGACAAATGTTACAACACAGTTTTCCACGCAAGAGTGCAAGGCCTGGCCTGTTGCACATATACAGTGACAATTTGGAACTTGAACAGACAATCACAAATTGAGTATTTTAATCTTTTCCTATGTTTAAAATTTCAGGTTCTCTCTCTCTCTTGGTTTTTAACCCCCCAAAAATGTGGTTTAGTTACGTTGGATAAACTGCCGTCTCAATATCCAACTTCTTCTATGACGTGACCCATTGGTACAGTCGACATGTTGTCAAATCTCAGTTATTACTTTGGTGAGATCAGTGTTATTATAAGTGTTAAAAATGAAAACCAGAATTATAAAAATAAGACTTTAATAATCTGGATTTATCCTTTACCTCATTGTGTTCTCCCAGCCTGTGTGTGTTTGTGCGTGTGATTTAACACATTGCAGTACCACCACCTGTGCTCAGTATTTGTGACAGATTTGTTGTCATTGGCATTAGTCTGCTTGCTACACTGTGCGCTGTAGCATTTGTCTGGCATGTAGCTCTAGTAGTTTCTGTCTGACGATTGTTCTGGTTGTCTCATGTATTCCGCTGATCCTTCACTGTATCCGTTCTTGTTTTGGTGTGTGTGTGTGTGTTGCAAACTGTGTGCTGCTGCATGTTTGTCCAAGTAAGCGTCAGACCAGGCCACCGCAGGTTGAGTGATGATGTGAGTTGCAGACTGGGGCCAGCTCTGGACTGATTGGGCTGCTCTTTTCCCAGGGGACCCAGGCTAAATTGCTCTGTCCCTCCTTTGCCTCTCTTTCCATCCTCCTCTGTCTTTCTCAAACACCCCCACCCATGTCATTTTCAGTCCTTTTTATGTTGTTTCTTCCCATTGCCTATCCCCTCCCTCCTTTTTTTTTTTGGAAACACAAGATTGATTTGAGGAACAATCTTGAAAACCCTTCTCACCAGGCAGTGTCATCTAGTGTGTGTGTGTGTGTGTGTGTTGCGTGGAGGGCTGTGTTGGCAGTGGTCTGGAGCTAGTAACCCAGCAACGGCAGGGGTGAAGCTCTTCATCCCATAGGCTGTCTGGTAGAGAGACCACTTTCTATGTGTGTGTGTCTGAGTTGAGGTCACAGTTATTACACACATACATTCAGCTCTTTTCCCACCTTAAGCACAAACACTGTTGCGCACACTCAGCTATATGCAGTTTCACGTTGTGAAACACACACACACACACACATTATTCTGTCCTTCAGTGCCCAGGGCTCTTAATCAGAGCTGTTCTGGCTCTGCCAGTGTGTTTTTCTCAAACACAAGTCGCATGTTTTCCCTGCTCTAATCCCACACACATTCTTACAGAGCTGCATCAAAAGCACTGGGAGATGTGTTACAGAGTGCATTAAAACTTAAGGTCTCATTTTCATAGTTTAGGCCGTTGTGTCTTTAGGTCATGCTCACTAAGCTATGTGCAGAGATCTGGGAATGTAGCAACATTGTTAAGTAGTAGTCAGATAAGGGAAGAAAGATGAGCAGTGAGGCAATCAGGCAGGTTTTAAACAAACCCCCGCGCTAGCCCAACAGATTAGGAGTTGAATCAGAGGCAAGCAGAGCAGATATTACCCTAATCATCTGTTTGAAACTCCCATTACAGTTGACAGACTGACTACTTGATTCAACTTGGACCAACTATATTTTCTGTAGTTTTGAATGTACACAGTTTTCTCAGTCCGCAGCATGCATCTCCTTTA